GATGTTTCTTTGTTATTTTCTGTCTGGATGATCTGTCCATTGGTGAAAGTGAGATATTAAAGTCCTTACTAATATTTTATTGCTGTTTATCTCTCCCTTTATATCTATTAATGTTTGCTTTATATATTTAGGATCTTCAATGTTTTGGGTGTATGTATGTATATATATATATATATGATATATATGAATGTTATGTCCTCTTGTATCAACTTTTTATCATTATATAATGGCTTCATTTGTTTCTTGTTATAGTTTTGACTTAAAGTATATTTTATCAGATATAAGTATAGCTACTTCTGCTTTCTCTTGGATTCCATTTGTATAGAATATCTTTTTTCATCCATTCACTTTCAGCCTATGTTTGTCCTTACAGGTGAACGAATATCTGTTAGGAAATATATAGTTTGAACTTCTTATTTTATCCATTTGGCTACTCTCTATTTTTTAGTTGGAGAATTTAATGCATTTATATTCAAGTTGATTATTGATAGATAAGAACTTGGTACTGTCATATTTTTACTTGTTTTATAGTTATTTTAATAGATGCTTTGTTTCTTCCTCTCTTACTGTCTTGCTTTGTGGTTAAGTGATTTTCTCTATCAGTATGTTTTTATCCCTTGCTTTTTTAAATTTTTTAGTGTATCTATTAAAGGTTTGTCTTTTTTTTGAGACAGAGTCTCACTCTGTTGCCTGGGCTAGAGTGCCGTGGCATCAGCCTAGCCCACAGCAACCTCAGAGTCCTGGGCTCGAGCGATCCTCTTGCCTCAGCCTCCCGAGTAGCTGGGACTACAGGTATGTGCCATCATGCCCGGCTAATTTTTTCTATATATATATTTTAGTTGGCCAATTAATTTCTTTCTATTTTTAGTAGAGGCAGGGTCTTGCTCTTGCTCAGGCTGGTTTTGAACTCCTGACCTTGAGCGATCCACCCGCCTTGGCCTCCCAGAGTGCTGGGATTTCAGGCGTGAGCCACCATGCCCGGCCTATTAAAGGTTTTTGCTTTGTGGTTACCATGAGGCTTACCCAAAACATCTTATTGTTACAACAGGTTATTTTGAGCTAATAACAACTTAATTTTGATCACAAGAAAAAAAAAAATCAACCCGCTACACTTTAACTCTGTTACTCTTCCACATTTTATGTTTTATGTCATGATTTATATATTGCTTATCCTTTAACGAATTATTGTAGTTTTTAATTATTTTATTCACTTTTGTCTTTTCATCTTCCTTCTAAAGATATAAGAAGTTTATGTCCCACAGTTATCATGTTAGAGTATTCTGAATTTGTCTGGATACTTACTTTTTTTACCTGTTGTTTTTATACCTTTGGACGTTTTTGTGTTACTCAATAGGATCCCTTTCTTTCAATTGAAGAACTCCCTTTAGCGTTTTCAGTAAGACAGGTCTGGTTGTAATGAACTTCAGTTTTTGTTTGTCTGGGGATGTCTTTATTTCTCCTTCATTTTTGAAGGATAACATTGCTGGGTACAGTATTCTTGCTCGAAAGATAATTTTTTTCCCTTCAGCACTTTGAATATATTATCCTACTCTCTCCTGGTTTGTAGGGTTTCTGCTGAGAAGTCTGATGCCAGGCATGTTAGAATTCCCTTATATGTTATTTGCTTCTTTTCTCTTGCCTGTTTCAGGATCTGCTCTTTGTCTTTAACCTTTGAAAGCTTGATTATATGTCTTGAGATGGTCTTTTGGGTTGAATTTGATTGGTGATCTTTGGCCTTCCTGTATCTGGATATTTGTATTTTCTCCAGATTTGGAAAGCTTTCTGCTATTATTGAAAGAGAGCTCTGGATAAGCTTTCTACACTTTTGTTATTCTCTAGCCCCTCTTGAATGTCAACAACATATAGATTTACTTTTTAGATTACTAAATCTATATGTCAACAACATATAGATTTACTTTTTACTTTTTAGTGTCCCATATATCCCATACGTTTTCTTCTTTACTTCTCATTGTTTCTTTTTTCTACTCTGACTGTATATTTATTTTTGTATAAACTGCCTTCAAGCTTGCTGATTCTTTCTTCTGATTGATCATCTCTGCTGATGATGCATTTTTCATTTTGTTTATTATCATTTTCAGTTTCAGGATTTCTGTTTAATTTTTCATTATTTAAATTTCTCTGATAAATGTCTGAATTGTTTCTCTGTGTTTTCATGAAGTTCATTGAGTTTTCTTAAAACAGCTATTTTGTATTCTTTGTCTACCAGATCATTCATCTGCATGTCTTTAGGATTAGTTACTGGTACCTTGCTTTGTTCATTTGGTGAGGTCATCTATCCTAGGCTATTTTTATTCTTTGTAGATATGCATCTCTGGCTACACATTGAAGAACTGGGTATTTTTTCCAGTCTTTGCAGTCTGGCTTTGTTTGGGATTGTTCTATTTCAGTGGGCTTCTTTAGAAATTGAGTGGACTGGCTGTTATATTCAATTTCAGCACAAGAGGGCGCCCTAAGCCCAGGTTAGATGCAAGTCTCATGATGGTTGTGCTGCTAATGCAGTGTCCAACTTGGATGGGCGTGTGAGAGATCCACAGATGGGACACAGACCACGTGGGAGAGCCAGCCAGGCCCTCAAGTCTGGAGGATCTGTGAATCATGCTTCCCACAGCTTGGTGCCCATAAACAGCCTCTCTGGTGCAGCATCTCCTCTGGCAGAAATGGTCAGCCACCACCAAGTTCCCCATGCTGGCAGCCACTAGTCCCACCCCCTCTCTTTGTCCATAGCTGGCCTTGAGTGGTTCAACCCAGGTCTACTTGTAGTCCAACCCATGGACAGATGCAGAAGTGTATTTCCTGTGGAGGGACCCGGTATGGTGGTAAAGCTGAATGTCTGCCTCCAGATCACGTTTTTCCAGTGTAGAAATCATGAATCCAGGAGGATTTCCCACGTTTGGTACTGTAATGGCTTGAGGGCAAGGGCCTCAGTCACCAAGAACCAATCCTCTTACCATCCAACTATAGTTTTAAGTTACCTTCATGGTCCAAAAGGGCTTCACAGTCTCACATGTGTTCAGGTTTTCTTAGCTCTTGTGAAGGTAATTTAATGCATGGATAGTTTGATGTTTCTAAGAGGAGGTGATTGCTGAAGAGTCCTATTCTGCCATCTTGGTCCACCCATCATACAGTATTTAAATTAGATATCTGGAAATGGAGGGCTAGAAAGAAGACCATAGAGGCCACAGCCCCTGTCCTCAAGCTTTGTCCAGTAGAACACAGTGTCCCTATAATTTAGGGGTCAGCAACCTTTTCCTATGAACACTAAATGGAAAAGATGCATAGGGAGATGTATGTGGGGAAGTGTTCAGGTCTTCCATGATCTCTCTGGGTGCATTATCCTCCAGGAACTTCCATATGTTCAGCTATTTGCAAGCTCCAGAAGGAGAATTTTAATATGAATACTTATATCTTTTAATTCTTAACATTTTCTTCTATCATTTCTTTGATTTTTAAATGTTTTAAAACATATAGTTCACCCTTGAACAACACAGATTTGAACTTCATGAGTCCACTTATATTCAGATTTTTTCCAATAAATATATTGGAAAAATTTTTGGAGATTTGCAACAATTTGAAAAAACCGAGACAAACTGTGTAGTTTAGAAATATTGAAAAAATTAAGAAAAAAGCATTTCATGAATGTAAACTCTATATATAGTTACTAGGCTATTTTATCACATACTATCATAAAATATACACAAATCTATTATAAAAGTTAAAATGTATCAAAACTCAAGCACAAAAACCTCTACAGACTGTAAATGGTGCTATTCCCAGTTGAGATAAATGTAAACAAATGTAAATATGCAGTATTAAGTTATAACTGCATAACATATACTGTAGTATATACTATATTACTGTATTAATTTTGTAGCCACATGCTATTGCTACTGCAGTGAGCTCAAGCGTTGCATACATCCACTTAAAATTCCATGTGATGCTAATCATCTCTGCATGAGCATTTCATCACTCCTTCAAATTGAGTATCACAGCAAAAAGTAATCTCTCACAGTTCTTGCATATTCTTCATTGTGTTTTGTGCAATACCATGAGCCTTGAATAACCCATATGAAGTGCCACTAGTGATGCTGGAGGTGCACCCAAGAAGTAAAGAAAAGTCATGACATTACAAGAAAAAGTTGAATTGATTGATATCTACCATAGATTAAGGTCTGCAGCTGCAGGTGTCCTCTATTTTAGACAGATTATTCATTTTATAAATAGATGACATAAACTCACAGTATTGATAAATACAGTACAGTACTGTAAATGTATTTTTCTCTTCCTTATGATTTACTTAATAACATTTTCTTTTCTCTAGTTTAATTTATCATAAGAATGCAATATATAATACACATAACATAAAATATGTATTACTCAACTATTTATGTTATCACTGAGGCTTCCAGTCAACAGTAGGCTATCAGTAGTTGAGTTTCTGGGGAGTCAAAGTTATACACAGATTTTTTACTGTGCAGGAGTTCAGAATTCCTAACTCCCACACTGTTCAAGGGTCAATTGTATTCTCAATCTCTTTTCCTTTTTCTTCTTTAACTTTGTGGGAGATTTTCTGTATTCTTCCTACCTCCTTTTAAGTATATGATCTTGACAACCACATTTCTAATTTTTATGAGATGTTCTTGCTCTGATTCTTTCTTTTTCATGGAATCCTTTGTTACTTTATTAATGCACTATCTTCTTGAATGTTTAATAAAATACTAATTAAATGTCGGTTAATCCTTGGTTGCCTGCTGATATTTAAGCAAAAGGAAAGAGAATTCTGACTGTGAGCTCTATGTATATGGGCAGGCCTTCATTTTCAGGTGAATGAAAGAGGAATCAGCCACTATACTTTAAGATCTCCAGCAGCCAGAATTCAGTGCACTTTCCTCTGGGATGCAGAGCTATTTGAGAACTAAAGAAGAGAGCTCTGGTGCTGAATTCAGAAAACCCTGAGGATTGCTGAGCAGGTGCATACATACCTGGCAGAGATCTGTTTATATAGCCATTGACTGTGTGCATTTTAGGCCACGCCCCAGCGGATGCAGTATCTGTATCTTGCATCAAAATATCCTTTGTTTCTGAGTGCCAACTTTTCCCTGATGGGAGAGGAGGCAAAGATAGAGCCAGCTAATCATCTATCTCATGAATGACCCTCCCTTTCTCCTTCCCTTCCTCCCCTAGGGCAAAGATTGCTCAAACTGTAAGCACTTTTGTCAGCAAAGTAAGCATTAACTTCTCAAAGTCAGTGAGGGGGGAGAAAAGACAATTGCCAAAAGGCAGACATTTCTTGCTCAAACTGATTATCTCTCCCTATATTTGTCCATGACAATAGATAGGAAGGGATAATGACAAATTATAACCAGTAGAAGGGAGAATATCGGTTAGTTTGAGCCATGAAGATTTAATTCTATTTATTAGGTAATTTATTTAAAAGAAGGCATATGAAAATCACCCTAGGAATAGGGCTGTCTGTCAGTCCCCATCTCTGTCATGATAGCTTCATTCAAGCTAGTAGTTATGAAACTCCAGGAATCTGAAAACTTCCTGGCCTTCTCTCTGAAGTTAATAAGAGCCGAAGTACTAGAGATGCTAATAGACAGTGGCTTATTGAAGTTATCCCTTTATGCGATGGACTGGCAGCTAATGCTAAAACTTTCTGAATCACCCACTTTCTAAATTATAAGAATTTAGAAAATTCTTATAAGTTCATTTACCCATTTATTTACCCATTCATTCATTCAAACACATTTACTGAGCACTACTGAGTATAGGCAGTAATTATGTAGAAGAAGACACAGCCTCTGTCTTCAAGGTGCTTACACTCTAGCTTGAATAGACAGATAACCTGACAATTATAATAAAGAGTGAAGAGTGATATAATAAAGATAAGTACAGAATGTTATAGGAGCAGAGAGGAGAAGGAACTTCATTTTGCTTGAAGGGAAAAGGACATGAGGTCAAAGATGATAGACATTAAATAAATAGAGTAGACAATAAATGACATAGTGTGATAAGGAGTAAGGTCAAGGTGCTGTGGAAGTATATAAAGCAAGCATCTAACACGGGCTGAAAGTGATCCTGAGAGAAGAAATTAAGTAGAGGGCATTAGGAGAGGGAGAGCTGAAGTCAGTCAGACCTAAAAGAAAAGGAGAGTAGTCAGGAGAGAGATAATGGGGGCCTTGATTAAGAAGATGGCAGTGTAGATGGATAAGAAGGAAAAGAAGACAGTTATGATGTTATCATTGTTGATTATATATGATTATATAGGAGGAGGAGGAGGAGGAGGAGGAGGCAGAAGAGGAGGAAGCTACTTAAGTATCACTTAATCCTCACAACAATCCTATGAAGAAAGTACTATTATTTCAATTTTAGATTCGAGGAAACTGAGACACAGAGAGGTTAAGTAACTTGCCAAAGGTTGCATACTTAGTAAGAGATAAAGATAAGAGAAAGTATTTAGAAAGTACAGCCAAAAGTCTTTGTTCATGGATTTAATGAGGGGAATAAGGCCAACCTGCTACCAACTTCTCTATCTTCTTACCTCATAGCTTCCAATGGAATTTAGGTTACATTTTGGGGGGCAGGTAATTCATTTTCTACCCCATATCCTTCATTTCTGAATAGTTTAGATCTTTCTATAATTACCTCCTGTGAATATTAGCAGAGGATTCCTTGCAGGAGTCCAAAATTCAGATTGAAGCTCACTAACCTTCATCAAATACAGCAAAAAGTAGTACAAATTTGTGCAAGGTCTGTGTCCTTTCCTTGGCCAGACTCCCTGAAAAAGAAGTGAGAGCATTTATCTTCTATTTAAAATCCCAGTGGAGTAATAAAATGTGGTATATGTATGCCATGGAGTACTACTCAACCATGAAGAAAAATGGTGAACTAATACCTCTTGTACTATCCTGGATGGAGCTGGAGCTCGTTCTTCAAAGTGAAGTATCACAAGAATGGAAAAACAAGCACCACATGTACTCATCATCAAATTGGTACTAATTGATCAACACTAATGTGCACATATGGGAGTAACATTCACAGGGCATCAGGCTGGTAGGAGAGGGGAGAAGGGGATGGGTAAATTCACACCTAATGAGTGTGGTTCATGATGTCTGGGGTTGGGCACACTTGTACCTCTGACTTGAGTGGTGCAAAGGCAATATAGGTAACCAAAGCATTTGCACCTCCATAATATTCTGAAATAAAAATAATAAAATATAAAAAATAAAAATAAAATCCCATCATAGGAAATTGCCACTAGGAGGAGATATTTCTTCATTAACTACTTGAGGGTAAGAATAAATGCCCTCTGTCATTAATTGTGGCCATGAAACTGGACTCAATATATGAGAGATCATACTTCCAACTGAAATTCTTCCAAACTACAAACCCTTCTGGTCTTTTCCACCCCCCCTCCTTTTTTAAAAATCACATTCATCATCATCATTCAGAAAGGGTATGATGGTTCACGTTCATACATTCTTTGCCATTTTCCCATCAAAATGTGGAGTCCCCTCTATGGACTGGCCTTGATGATGCAATCTAACAGAAAGAATGAATGTTGTGTGCCTTCTGAGGTTAAATTAGAAAAGGTGATACAGGGGGCGGAGCAAGATGGCGGACGAATAACACTGCCAGACAGAGGGTCTCTGCAGAAAAGACAGATTCTAGCAGAAACTAGAGGAAAGAAGGAAGAGAATCATTTATCAAACAAATCCATAAATCCCAACAATAAATGACTGGCGTTGGTTGGGAGAGAGGGAACACTCCTACATGCTGGTGGGACCTTGCAAACCTAAGTTCAACCTCTGTGGATAAGCAATATGGACGACATACTAACCTTATAAAAAGGATACATAGTGAATTCTACCAATTTTGACCAAGCAATCCCATACTGATGGCATCATACCCAATATGTACAGTGACACTCTTACAAAAAAACTGCACTCGAATTTTCATAGCAGCACAATTTCACTAATTGACAGGCAATGGCCTACACCCACCAAAGTGCCCATCTAATCACTCCAAAAATGGATTAACCTTCCAATAAAGTGGTAGGTATACACATCACCATGGAGTAATCTATTACAGACTCTAAAACAATGGTGATATAGCAATTTATATTTTCCTGGTTAGAGCTGGAACCCATACTACTAAGTGAAGTATCCCAAGAATGGAAAACAAGCACCAGATATATTCGTCCAGCAAACTGGTATTAACTGAGTAGCACCTAAGTGGACACATAGGTGCTACAGTAATAGGGTATTGGGGAAGTGGGAGGGGGGAGGTTGGCGGGTATATACATACATAATGAGTGAGATGTGCACCATCTGGGGGATGGTCATGATGGAGACTCAGACTTTGGGGGGGGCAATGGGCATTTGTTGAAACCTTAAAACTGTACCCCATAATATGCCAAAT